CCTAAAACAGTACCTATTATTAAAGATAATAAAGAACTTAATAATAAACTAGAAGTTCAAGAATACTCAGTAGTAATATATATACTATTAGTATAATGTACTAATTGTAATAATAAAGTTAAGATAGATATTTTAGCTATTATAGCTACAAAAGTAGTAACTATTGTAGGTATACCATCATAAACATCAGGAGACCAGAAATGAAATGGTGCTGCTGATATTTTAAACAAGAACCCTATAGAAATTAATAATAAACTATATGGCACGTATGTAGTTATATCTTGTTCATTTAATATACCAGCTAAGTTATTAATAACATAAAAACTATCTAAATAAGTTACACCTAAATTAGCATATATTAAGGCAATACCTAATAAAATAAAACAAGAAGATAAACCACCTAATAGGAAATAAGTTAAACCAGCTGAGGTAGATGATTCAGAATTTCTATACATAGTACATAATAAATATAAACCATAACTTTGTAATTCTATAGATAAAAAAATAGAAACCAAATCACTACTAGAAATTAAAAAAATACTACCTGTTATTATAAATAATAACATTAAAGTATATTCTATAATAGTATATTGTTCACCTTTTTTTAATATTATATTCGATACTAATATATTTTTTATAATTCTTATTATAGATATAAAGATTAAATATCTCTTTAATTCTACTTAGGATATCTATTATTATTATTAAGATTTTCTAAGATCTGAAACTATCTAGAAGTTTATAATATATAGATTTATAACAAAATTTAAGTTTAAAGATAATAATCTTATTCTAAAAAAAAGAATATCTTATAAGTAGAGAGATTAAGATAGAGAGAGAAGAGAAAAGTCTTTAGTTATTATAAGATATTAATCTTATTAGTGATAATAAAGAGAAGGATATAGAGGATATATAAGAGCTAGATACTATCTAAGATCTTTCTTATAAAGCTTTATCTAACAATAAAGCTACAAATCCTCTTCTAGAGACTTAAGAACAGATTTTAGATAGAAGTCAGAAGCGGAGACAGGATAATAATTAGTTTATTAAGTATTAGTTATAGAATTAAATTGATCTTATTTTAACCTCTTTAATACTAAGAAATCTCTTAAATCTTGACTAGTAGTTGTATATAAAATACTCAAAATTACAGCTCGAATATACATAAAATATACAAGTTATGGGGTCCTACTTGTTTGTATTGTTTGACTATCTACGGGTATCTAGAAAATATCTATGGGTATTAACCAGCTTCCCACTACCCGTACACAGATAGACAAACCCTACCCATTACCCGCCAAGAAATAGGTAATAGATACCCCGTTTAGGTAGACCCGCGGGTCGTGACAAGATCTAATATTATATAATATAAAACCAATAAATAATAGTCCTTATTTAACTAAAGCTTCTATTCAATAATAATATACTACTACTTAAATTAGATTAATATTTCTCTTTTAAAAAAAATATATTAGATATCTTAAAAGATTTCGATCGATCTCTAGTTAATATTATACTTAACTCTCTCTTAATATACTATTAAACCTATCTTAAAGACTCTAGTAATATATAATATTCTATAATCATATCTTACTACTCTTATAACAAGACTTCAAGTTCCTTATTAGTTTAGATAATATACTCCTCTAGCTATATTTATTAGATCTACTACTAAACTAGTTTTTTCTTAAATTTTAATTATCTCTTATTCAAAAAATATATTATTATAGTTATATTACTCTAAAAATATCATAAATTTCGCCAAAACAATTCCTCAAACTTCTCGAAATATTTAATATTAATAAAAAAATAACTATTCTAATAAATATCAATAATCATAATACTAGAGATTAACTCCGCAAATAATTTATAGATAAGATTCTCGCTATATTTCTCGATCAGAGATTCGGGGAATATATCTAGGATAGAGATACAGCTCTAGATCTACTATTTCACTCTTTCTAGATTATATTTTCGACTATAAGAAGATATATTAAAGATAGTTTCTGTTATAACAGATATCTTAATACAGTCAACACAAAATCGAGTATCGATAATATATATTATAGCAGAGAAAAGAAAAAGATAAGCTTTAGTATTATTAAGAGAAAACCTAAGCAGAGTTGAGATATAACAACAACAGCGTTTCAATTTAGAATACTAAAGCTAAAAGGGGAAAAGAAGAAGGAAAAGAAGAAGAAGCTGTAATAACCGATCTAATACCTAACTCTAACGCAATCCTCTATCCCATCTTTACCAGTCTTATAGTTCAGACAGACCTTATCGATTTCCAAGGCGGTAGATGACAGCAGAATCGGCCAACGGCTGATAATAGGTTGTTAAAATTATTTAAGGAAGATATAGCTAATCTTTAAGATTAGCTTATTAATAGTCTAGTATGTTTATATACTATCGATAGAAGTTTATTAGCTAAGGATAGTGATAATAATATTATCTATTATTAATATCTTTACTAAATTACAAGCTTTATATATCTTGATAAATATGATATTAGGTTTTTAGTAAAGAATAGTAAAAATATTTAGAACCTACTAAAGATATTATTTACTAACTAGATCGATTTTATTTATATTAGAAAAGTTATAACTTTATCTTATAAAAAGCTAACCCTATTTAGTAGTAAGAAGATTAGACCCTAAAAATAACGGTCTTATAATAATATCTAGATTACTATATATATCATCGAGTAAGATCAGTTATATCAGGCTATTATAATATATATCTTATAGTTGTTAGATCTATTACTGATCGGGACTAATATAGATAATTTAAAGCTGTTGGTTATATCAAGTATTTTAGACTCTACTTCAATATTCGATCCTTTCTTTGCATATTTATTTCTGATATATACAAGACAGTCTCGGTTCTACTATATCACTCTAGACTTTTTTTTATCCCTAGCTAACTTAGCTAGATTTGTGGTAGTATAGTTATTTAGTATCTTACCCCACTCCAAATATACCACACCACCAATATATCTTTTCCTAACTAATACAAGAGTCTAATATCCTATCCAGCTTATAAGAACAACATCTCTATTTTTATAATCAGACTTCTATTTAACCTCTACCAAAACATATACCTTATCTTACGTTTCTACAGACCTATATACTAAGATAATAGAAAGAAACAGCCTTAATATAATAAAGAAAAAATTTCAGCTGTTATTTCTATTTACTTTTAATAATGATTAAGACAAGAGTGTGGGCGCACGAAAAAAGCAATAGATCTCTTATTAATAAGAAACACTTCTTAGAGTTTTTTTTAGCATAGATATAAGCCTTTTAGGGGTGATTACTACCGCTCCTAGCGCCTGGAGCATTTATTAGGTTATTAGTATAACCTGGTTGAAAGGGATGTCTGGTCTGTTAGGGCGGATAGGATAGAAGATACTAGAGATACTTTTAAAGATGCTGAGTCAGATCTTTGGGAGGAATATTATATTCTACCTACATAATAGATATTCTAGTACCACTCTGCCTTCCATCCGGAGAAGACTCCTAAGCTCCATTCTTACAGAAATGGTGTCCCAGGGCCGAGGATAGATATGCAATTTTATAAGGAGCCAGCCATGAACATGGCCATTTTCCTACTCAATTGTGATTTATTTATAAATTTAGTTTCGACCCTTCCCTTTTTTTCATATATCTCCAACCCAGCCAAGAGCCTATCATACTATCAAATAGCTTCCAAAGTGTCGTTCATCATTGACATTTCCGATACTGTCAAAGACTATACACATACAGCGCCGGTGTCACCACAGTTCCCAATGCTGTCTGCACGTTCATCGTCCTGGTAGGAAGCGTGGCCGAGACTTGCTGCCCGCTGCAACACTAGTGGTGACAGTGACGGTGATGGAATCAACAGTCACCATGTTTACCCCGACGATTGTGAGGACTTCCTATGGGCACTTCCGGCCAAGGCTCGGCATGATTCTCGGGGCATGTGTACGGTTCTTGTCTCCCTTCTCGGTCCCGCAGGCGAATATAGTGGTATCCCAGATTTGACACATTATAATGTTTCTTTAAAAAAAAAAAATTAGCTCGAGACTGGCTTAGCTCGTAGGAAAGACTCACGATTTGATGAGGTGATGTGGCGTGGTTAAGTGCTTTTGTTGATTTAGGATGAAAAAGACATACCAAATGACCAAAATGGTGCCGAAGCTGGAGGTTGGGGATCGGCTAGGATCACATTCTTATAGTTGTGTCATCCACTGCTCGCTTTTGTTTGATATTCACGCGTAATGAGTTTAGCGGCAAGTAACTGGTTTCCTTAGCAAACCCAGTATAGCTATCCCGCCTCCTCGGTTACAATTGCAACACGTGCTGCTAAGCTACTAGATCCCAGTTCTGTCGGGGAACAAACGTTGATATAAGTTATTTATGGAATTTTGGATCATTATTAGGGTTATGTTTCTGGCCACGGTCGAACCAAGGAGAGTTGCAGCCAGGAGCGACTCGCGAACCAACGTAGCCGCTGGCTAGATAACGACGTGAAAGTTTATGCATCAGCGCGACTGTAGGGGGGGATAGAGATGGAGGAAGAGATGGAGGAAGAAATGGAGGAAGAAACGGAGGAAGAAATGGAGGAAGAAATGGAGGAAGAAATGGAGGAAGGATGGGGGAAGGGATGGGGGAAGAAATGGAGGAAGATGAAGGAATAGATGGAGTCATTGGTTAAGTGTTCGGCGAGATACGTCGTATATACGCGACGCCGCGTGTATTGACACGATTTTTTTGGTTTGGGTAGCTTGAACAGCGAGTTCCAGTCTACCCTCTGAATTTGAGCGATCTATCGCGTTTTTTGGTGGCATGGTGGATAGTTGGTGGAGTGGTGTGGGAAGTTTGATTGGGGGTGGCGCCCGCGCTCGCTTGGGAGTTACGTTATATGGCACTAAACCTTATTTGGTAAAGTAAGTCCGTATTGGTACTAGTGCACGGATATCTATAAAGCGGATATCTATAAAACGGATCTCTGTAATGGTCGTAGCTGCTAACCTTCCTCCCTCCCGTCCGGTTCACAAACTACTCTGCTATCTCGATCCCTCACGCGCTCTACACCCCATCATTTTCATCACCAGTTTCGCTATGTCTTTTACAAGCCCAAAGCTTTTGCCCACCAGGCAGTTAATCACTCCTCCGGATTCTCCTCGCAAACGCCGTAGGACCCTCCGGGACTCTGAAGAGACATATGGAGAACTTTCGCTGGAGAGTTACCTCCTGGCGAGTGATCCCTACAGGAGTACAAACCTGCCAAACCCGCTCCCTTATCCATTGTGTCTTATCCCCTCTCCCGCCTTGGCTGAGGCCATCCAGCCTATAGTGCAGGAGGTATTCGCTCTACTTCGCAGACATGGAATTCCCGATACGGTCACTGTTCAAGCTGTCACGCTCACAAAGCCATTATACCCAGGGGGCGACAAGCCATTCAATGTACTGCGAGTGGAAATGCCAAGCGACAGTCCTAGTCTTCATTTCGGCCCGGTGAAAGACGAGATCATCCAGTTGCTGCAGAGAAATGCTATACAAGACGTATATGTGGAGATCATAAATCCTACGCTCCGCCAACAACCCTCGTTTTTCTTCCTTGCAGGAACGGACACATTGGCAGTATCATTCCAACAAGCGAAGGCCTCCCTCATAACGCTCTTAGATAGCACAATCCCGCGGCGCTGGCATCTGTTATGTCCTTTTAATGTTGGAAATTCAGAACACAAGGCACAGCCATCCATCGCGGTGATTGTCGAGCCCAGCACTATTACAGATTGGGCGAGACTACGAGAGAAGATGGTCTCCCTGCTAAGAAACTTCAAGCTAAGCGGTCAAATCGACGTTGAGTTCGTCCCGGGAGACCTGTCCCTATTAGGTAACAGCGCGGTATCATTCATGGGTCGAATGAAGCCTACACCAGTGATGGGTTACTCTGTTGGGATCGTGGGTCAGAACACTGCAGGAACACTTGGCGGATGGGCCGAGCTTACACATAATGGAGTTGTCCACCGGGGATTCCTCACTAATTACCACGTTATCCGGCCATCGTTATCGGAGCAGTACCCCCCAGTCTTTTCTCAAGGAGCTTGATCGCTTTGGCGCAACGTTTGAGCGCCCTTTAAGCCGACCTATTCATGTCCACTGTCTTTCAAATACAGACTGTGGTGAGACCTTATCATCTATCGTTGCATCCTTGGAGGCAGTCCGCAAGGAAGTAATTACACTGGGCACCAGGATTGAGCAGAATGAGATGATAGGCAAAGATACTACCAGACTCCGCACAATATTGAGTACACGACAGAGACAGATCGACGATCTTACATGGGAGAAGAACCTAGTGCAAGGGATGCCGATTGTGCTTGGTCAAGTGCTTGTCACGTCAGGGGCATCTATCCTAGGCAAACGGCTAATGGACTGGGCGTTCATTGAGCTTAGCGATGAAGCCCAGAAACTGTATTTTGGGCCAAATTCAACATTCGAGGTCCCACGAAACCAACAGCCTAGTGCATACTGGAAGGATCTACCCAACATAGCGTTGCCCGTCGGTTCAACAGTGACAGATTTTGGGAATTTGACCAAGCTAGGTTACTGTGCCAAGATCGGGCGAACTACAGAGATCACGGCTGGTATCTGCAATGGGGTCGAGGCTGTTTGTCGGTGGAAGGGCCATATCAGATATGACCATAATGGCCAAGAGATGATCTTATCAGACAACTCAACTGAAGAGTATATCATCCTTCCAAAATACTTTTCCAAAGAGTCCACATTTGCCGAGGATGGAGATTCTGGGTCATTCATACTGAATGAGCTTGGAGAAGTTACAGGCCTGTTGTTTGGTGGTGCAAGCCATAATGCGTCTTTGGCCGGACTGGCAATGAGTTTCGAGGATGTTATCACATCGATGAAATTGAAGCTTGGAGACTCGATTACTCTTAGTCTTCCAGCTTGAACATCGACTTGCAGGATGCGACTCAAGTGTTGCTTACATTTGTACTCAGCATCATTATTCGCTGTTACTCTGAGTGTTGCTTACGTTTGTACTCAGCATCGTTATTCGCTGTTACTCTGAGTGTTGCTTATATTTGTACTCAGTATCATTATTCGCTGTTACCCTGTATCATTATTCGCTGTTACCCTGTATCATTATTCGCTGTTACCCTGTATCATTATTCGCTAATAGCTTAGCAATGGAAGTTTACTCCTTATTCTCTTAAGTCTATTCTACGGAATCAAGCCTAATCCATTTTTCAGAGACCCGCTAGAAGCCAAGTCAGAAAAACACGGGATCCAGGATAAACACAGGCTGATAGATTACAGCATCGAAGATAGCCGTGTCCTCCGCGCAGAGGGAATCACCGAGGAAGCGTGGACACCGTGCTCAGCACCCAGGTCCTTTAAGCCGTGAGTGACCTGAGAGATGTAATGAAAGAGGTCTGGAAGCTGCTCAAGACTGGAGGCAATTTTGTGTCTGGGAGCGTGGGACGAGGCGCACAACTCAGGAGAAAGGCATCGATATAGCTTGAAATGTCATAAAAGGACTCTGGATAGTCTTTTAGTTCCTCCCGACGTTGCGCAAAGCATTCAAATCGCTGCTCAAGCCGGTTATCCTGCAGCCACCGTCCCCGCAGGGTGAGCAACGGGTCTGGGAAACCTTACGGCCTGGCGATCATGAACCCGGCTTTCTCAGAGCCTGTCTTGATCAAGTATGTCAGTGCTATTGAAGATCTTCAAAAGTCCACTAATACGAGATGGCAGCGATATCTCCCCGAGTGGCGTGGCTACTTGGAGCGTAACATGCCTGTTGTTATGTAAAGTGCGAGCTGGGAAATATGAACACCGCCCCCTAGGTAATATATTGGCGTAAGTGGCTAGTTGCAATGATGCTCTGTATGTTTCCTTATACAATATTCATCGTGGTAGCTTTATGGAGTTTTCAGGCTTTGCAAGTTCAACGGGTATACTAACCCAAACCGCTAATAACGTGTTCGCAGTAAGTCTGTTGACAAACCGCTGCAGAGCGATTGGGAAAGAATATTAATTACGATAGAACCAGCGACTGATTCTCATAGGGAAGTTCAATTTGACATTTTCCGACATGTACCTTGTTTCTCGCTACATGGAATTGAAGCTCTAAAGATTGCTCCCCAAACTGACCGATTCCCATACAACCGAGCGGCCTATACATCTCCGATCCCTATCAATCAATATGGGGCCAAATTACAAAAGTGGATCCACTGATCAGATTGGGGGGGCACCTGGGCATAGAGCTCCGATCTGACTCACGGATTGCGTATCGCGAGTCAAATAATATTTCTGGGATACGGGTGCCGCCGCACGGCCCACACATCTCCGATCACTGTCAATCAATATGGGGCCAAATTACAAAAGTGGATCCATTGGTCAGATTGGGGGCATAGAGCTCCGGTCTGGTCCTCGGATTACGTAGCGTGAGTCAAATAACCTGCAGGCAGTCAGCTTAGCCACTCATGTGCCAAGATATTTTTCGTGTTCCTTCTCTGCGCCCTCGATAGACGGTAAGAGAGAACGGAAATGAAGCGTGAATAGTACTGGAACACGATATATAATATCCACTGGTTACTGTATATTACGCTAGATCACTTTTCTATACAGATATTTGCAAAAACGCCGATAGTGCAGCCCAGGGGCTGTTATTGTACCTTGTAAAGACACGGTCATACAGTTTTACTGTAGTAACCTGAATTTTTCCAAGATAGATAGTAATAAAATGAACAAGGCCAAGCGAAGGTAGACCTAACCAAACGCAAGTAGAGAATCTATCATGCTGAACACATCATCTTTTCGCCGTCTTCTGTCTATAGTGGAAACCTTAGCAGCAAACCATTCGGATCGAATTAATGCGGCCTGTTCTCATGGTAGCGGGGGCGGATAAATATCTCGTTTAGCCTGATTCCTAACATGAAATCGGGACTAACTTCTTCTCAACCACCAACATAAATACGCTGTATACTAAATCAAAGCCTGAAGCTTTGTTCTATGGTAACTACTGAGCCAGATCAGGTGCCGCAATTACGATCAACAAATTGTCTGCCCTCATAATCTCATGATTGTTGACAGTGAGTTACGCATACACAGCTTTTTGTTTTTAAAATACTGCATATGCTGACATTATCAGAAACATACAGTACGGTAATACTCGACCCCACTTCTTTGACTCCATACATGAAATGGTTTTAAATACAAGTAACGATAATCCTAGTCGACTTGTAAATTACACCTGTAGTTAATGGGTACTCTCTCTGCTAAAGATAGTAATTAAACAAAGGCAGTCATTTCCCATCCTTGAATCTCTTCGTCTTACCATATACGTCCAATCCCCAAGTGCCATAAAATGCCTTCCCCTCTTCCATATATTTATATATATATAGGTAAAATTAAAGATTTAAATATTTTTGCTCTTATTTTAAAAAAAAAGATAAAGTAGTTAAAAAAATTTATTTTAATTCTAAATTTGTTTTATCTAGTTTATTATCTATAACTATTTCTTTATTAATATTGATTATACTTCTATTTATATTTATATCTAATAAATAATTATATATATTAAATTTATTATTATTAATATTATTTATAGATTAGATTTTAATATAATTATTAACTATTAATAATATAAAATTATATATATTTTTTAATAACAGTTTTAAAAATATAATTTAGTAAATATACTATAATAGTAAGTAAAGATATAATTATCTATTTTGACTATATATTTATATATATTTTTAAATATTATTTATACTATAACATTTTCATTATAATATATAAATATAAGATAGATATAAATAGTATATTATAATAAGAAATAATTTATAATATAGTTATATATTTTTTATTTTTATATAATTTATTTTATATATAGTAATTATTTATTATATTATTAATAAACTTTAAATAAAATAAACCTTTTTTATTTAAAATCAAATAATAAGAATAATAAAAAGTAATCTTTTATTAGGATTATTAAATATATATTTAATTAGTTTTTTTGTTTATATTATATTTATATATAAGAAGTTATCTAGAACTTTAATATAAGCTATAGATATTATAATAGTAATATTAATAATAATTATAGTTTTCTTAGGTTATATTTTATCTTATAGATAAATAAATTTATGAGATACTATAGTTATTATAAATTTAATAAGTATTATATCTTGAATAGATCAAGATATAATTAAGTTTATTTAAGGAGATTTCTTAGTTAATAATGCTATATTAAATAGATTCTTTATATTATACTTCCTATTATCTTTTATATTAGCTATATTAGTTTTAATATACTTAATAGCTTATCATAACATAATAGGAGCAGGAAATCTTTTAGATATATTAACTAACTATAATAGATTATTTTTTGTTTTTTACTTCTTATTTAAAGATTTAATAACTATATTTATATTCTTTATATCTAATATTTTAAGAGATAGTGAAAATTATATTATAGCTAATCTTATATAAATATTACTAGCTATTATTCTAGAATGATACTTATTATTATTCTATGTTATATTAAGATCTATATCTAATAAATTATTAGAAATTATAGTTATATTTATTTCTATATTATATATAATAGTTATATCTATTATAAGATTTATCTAAATTAAAGAAAATATAATTTAGACTTTTAAGTAGAATAGCTTTCTTTATATTTATAACTAATTTCTTAGTATTAATATAAATAGGTATAAAATATATTAAAACACTATTTATTAAATTTAGTCAAATATTAATAGTTTTATATTTTATATATTTCTTTCTTAAATATAATAGAAAAAAATTTAATAGAATTATCTACTAAAAAATAGGTTATAATTTATATAATATATATTATATAGTTATATATATATATATATAAGAGTTTGAGTAAAAGGTTCTATATTTTGATTGTAAATCGAAATAAAAAGATTCCAGTTTCCTAAACTCCTATTTTTATTATTACATATCTTTTTAACTAAATATATATTCTTATATAACTATAAATATTTAATTAAAATACTTAAATAAAAATACAATAATTAAATAAATTACATAATATAGATATCATAAAAAAAAGTTTATACTTATATTTTTAAAATTATAAATATAACTAAATATTTTAATTAAATATTTATAGTTATATAAGAATATATATTTATTTTATTTTATAATAAGATAAATTTAAGAAATAAATATCAATTTTATATATATATATAATATATTAAAATAGATATATAAATATTATTTTATACTTATAAAATATTTATATTATAAAACTAGTATATATAGATAATAAATATTAAAATGTTTAATTTAAATTATAATAAATAAAAAATAAAATAAAATAAATAGTATTATTTCAATTGTTAAATCTTTATTATTAATTATACCAGCCTTATTATTAGTATAAGACTGACTTTAGTTATCTTATAAATAATTATAGTTTTATTTTTAATATAAAAATAGTTTATAATAGATTTATATTTATTATAATTATATTAGTTGATATAAGAGCTGATATCTTTATTCTTAAAGATTAAGAAATAGTAATTATACGAGGAAATAATTCTAATTTTAGATCTGATAATTTTTTTATCTAATTTTTTTCTAAATATTTTAATAGATAAGATATCTTTTTAATTATATATAAGATAGTATTAATCTTAATCTTAAATAGGTAATAGCTAGTCTAGTTTTTTATTAATAATTATATAATTAAATCTTGGAAAAGATCTAATCTTAGGATAGTAGATTCTAGAATATTAATATATGTTTTAAGAGTTAAAAAGATAATTAACCGAGATATCTATCTTGTAGTACTATAATTTAAGTTTTTTAATATAAGTTAAAACCGATATCTCTGATAATATATATAGAATAGTCTTATTATAGTTATAATCTGACTAATAATATCTAGTAGCCTATTTCTTAAAGATTATAGACTAAATAAAATTATTCTATTTTATCTATAATAAGGAAATATTAGTTATTATCTTAATATTTAAAAAATAGTACTCTAAACTGACTAGTCTCTAGTAAGAAGATTATTTTAAGGTATTAATAGATTATAAGATCTTAAAGTATTTTAGTATAAAATAATAGTTAAATATAAGATAAGTCTAATAGATAGAAAAGATTATAGATTATTATTTTATTATTTAATACTAATTAAGATAATAAAATAAGATTATTAATATATTATCTTAAAAAAAATAAGATAAATCTATTATAAAGATATAGTTTTTATCTAATAATAGCTATAAGAATAAGCTACTAACTATTATATATACTAATCTATAGATTATAGTTGAATAAATTAAATAGATAAATTGATTATAAGATAATCTATATAAGTATTGAGTTAAAGGAAGATTTATCTTTAAAGATAGAAAACTTATTATGTCTGATATTTACTAGTTATAAACTAAACTATTAGATAAAATCTATAGATAATTGTCTATATATTATCTAAGATAAGATCGAACTTTATAGCTATTATAAGATTGATTTTATTAGGACTAGATATATTAAGATATATAGCGATATATCGATAATTATTAAATTTATAAATAAATAAAGATTTAGAAGGATAAAATCTCTAGTCTATTATAACTATTAGAAGTTTTAAATAAGTTATAGTTATATATTATAATCGATTTTTGTAATCTTTTAAAAGATTATTAAGACTTTAATATTATTATAATAATAATTAACCGATTTATTAAGAGATTGATATTTATTTTGTACTATAAGAAAACTAATACTATTAAGATAATATATCTATTTATTAATTATATATATCTTTATATAAGACTTCCTGACTTAATTATATCTAATTAAAGACTATAATTTATCTTAGAATTCTAGGAAAATCTTTATAAAATCTTATAGATTTCGAGAAAGTTTTTATTTATTTATTACTAATAGACTAATAGTTAAACTAAGATTATAAATTAATATCTATAATAATATCTTTAATCTTATATAAATTACTATTAAGATAACTAATTAGACTAGATTAGATTAACAGATTCTGTTGTTATAGTACTATCTTAAATATTTACTAGAATATCTTTTTTTTATATTAAGAGAAGATATAAATTATATCTTTTATTTAATTAATAGATTATAATATCTTTTAATAACCAATCTTTTACTTAATAAATATAAGATATCTAGATATATATATAATAATAAATATAATAGAGTTAAAACATCTAAAAATAGCAGATAGACTATTATAAAAGAGAGTCCGATTTTATAATTAAAGACTAAGTTTATATAATAACTCAAAATTAGTTAATAGGATAGCCGAGTTATAAACTTACAAATCTTGTAATAAGATTATATAAGATATTAGAGAAGATAAAATATTTATTCTAATTTAAGCTATCAAGATCTATCTAAATCTATAATATCTTCTTATTAAACTAACTATATAAGATTATAAAACTAAAACTATTACTAGAACAAATCAAAGATCTAATATTATCCTTAATTATTAATAGAAAAAAAAAATAGGAAGTTAATTAAGTATTTAATTTATATTTATATTACTAGAAACTCTAATATAAAGTCAAATAGAAAGACTATAAAAACAATAATAATAATAAATAGTATTTAACTACTAATTTCGCAAACTTACTACTACTACTATAAGACTTCTATTATCAATATCTAAACAAAATAGGGCTATTATTATAATTAGACAACTAATTAAAACATATAATATAGCCCAAACTATTGACTTAGGGACAAATCGAGTCTCAACAGAGAGATATCAGCTGTTAGCCGATTCTGCTGCTATCTACTATCCTGAGAGTCGACGAGATCTGTCTGAACTACAAGACTAGTAAAGATAAGACAGAGGATCGTGTTAGAGTTAGATATTAGATCAGTTGTTACAGCTTCTCCTTCTTTCCTTTCTCCTCTTCCCTTCTTAGCTTTAGTATTCCAAATTGAAATGCCGTTGTTGCTGTATCCCAACTCCGCTTAGGTTTCCCCTTGACACCTATCAATATCCTATACAAAAACTAAGAACAGGATATATTTATAAAAATTATTAAAAAGAAAAAAAGACATAATAGTGATATTAAGAAATACTGTTAATAATAGATAAAGCCTTAGATAACAAGCCTTGGTTTTATCTTTATCACTAGAGCCTATAAAAAAGTTGCTATTAGCGTCCAGAGTTTCTAGTAGACAGTTTTTAATAAGCCAGGCAAATTAGATCAGGTAGTTATATAGAGCTACATATCGTATGTAGTCTATTTCCTCGAGATCATCTTGTAAGAGATTATTTTGCCTGATAAGCAGGTTGGTGATATCTAGAAGTTAAAAAAAATCCATTAAACTAAGGATATAGTATTTGTCAAAGGGTTATAACTCGAGAGGAATAAATCTTATACAATAAGCCCCTGTAAAGACCTAGTTTAAAAACAGTAAGCGGGCGGCCAAGACGGGTAATAAACTAGCTAGTGTTCTAAAGATTCCAACCGTCTCTCTAACTGTCTTTGAATGTCGCTAAGTTGAACCAATTACTCCTTTTTCTCTTGGACTTACCTGTATGAGAGATCTATAAGTATCTCAGATGTTTTCCGCAGTCGTACCGTTGCCCAAGGCCTCCAGGGCTTACACCTGCTCAGATTTATAGGCCTACTTGTAAATATCATCCCGGTCACATTGTGGTCAATGTCAGAGTAATCTTCTGGAATGGCATAACATACTTAGCTAATTGACCATATTTTCCTTCCTTGGTATGGTCGCTTCAGACCGTCTGATTTGATATCCCCTCCTTTTCAGGTGCCACTCTGGCCCACTTGTGTTCCTCGCGCCCATACATCGTATCACTAGCCATAGTGACAGTGACCAACTTCCAATGAAACATGGATGCGTTTGCAATCAAGTTCTCTCAATACCGAGGATCCTCATATTTATCAAGAAGAGCAGATGATATCCGACAGCGGCGCTTAAATTCAAAATGCTAAGGCTAGGGAAGGAATGAGAGGAGAGGAATAACAGGGGTTACTGTAACAGATTCAAAATCCCTCTCCAACCCACCCTCTACCCTGTCTCGTCTACGTTTGGACGACGATAGTCCAGAGAGTGCCTACCACTCAGGGCGGTGACAAGTGGCAAAGTCGGGTGATGCTAACAGCCATTATAATTATCGAGTTATTTATGATATTTATAAACTCTTATTTATTCTGCTAGGGATAAGAGATCTAATAAGAAGGAAAAGGCTGTCTTCTTGAATAATGTAAAATATATTATTTTACTTTATAGAGGACCTTGTACTTAGAGCCTAGTATAATTTTAGCGTGGAGCGGAGGAATGTTGTAAGCTCACCACGCACAGCCCTGGAGCAGGATATATTGAACGCCGCTTTCCGTTGTTTCAACCAGTTCCTCATACAACCTAAATAGGACAGTCCTCGGCATTGGTGACAACGGAGAATAACATTCTCATCGTATTAGGTCCCATCCTTAGCCAGGCGAAACATGCAGTAAATGACGTCCTCCTCCATGGGTTAATGCTAAGGTGTACTGAGTAGTCTTTTTGGGCTAGCCTTTTCCTGCTGGGCTCGACTGACGAAAAACTTTGCTACGAGCTTATCTAGAGATAATCCTAGGTAGTCGCCTCGTTAGTCTTAGAATCGTTCAATCAGCGAAGTGGTGAATGATACCTACCAAAACTTACAAAATACACAAAGCACCGACTAGGAAAAGGCGAACGAATTAGAACGAGGTTACTCGAGATAATTTCGTAAATTATAGTAAGAATATAGAACATAATCGAGGATAATGTCCTTCTCTAGTGCACATTGCCAAGTATTATCCTATCTCGCCTGTATAAGAGAGTGGTTGAATCGGCGTAGCACGCTTTAATATCTCCTATTATATCTAGTAAACTCAATACACTATTGGCAAACCGCGATGCCGACGGGCATACAGCTAAAATACAGGGGCGCTAGATACCTAGACCCGGCCGCTGCGAGTTCAGACGCTTGCTCATACACCCGGATGTGGGAGACTAATTGCACAGAATACATCCCGATGTACATAACGGTCTGCCCTCAGCATAGCCATCCCGGTATCACGTAATATGTCAGGGCAGATCGGAGCACTCTCTCCCGGCCAGATCGACTCCCATGGAGCGTTCCTCTCCCTGCGCTTCTTCGCCTATCGCAGAAGTTTACCGCTGCATATCAACTACTGGCCGAGTCCGCCGGCGGTTGAAGCTTGCCGTCTCCCTTCTGAGACTATCTATAACGATGGCCTCAAGGTCACTGTGAAAGAGGACGCTTCGCTCTTTCCGCTCAGGTATTTACTCATACCCCAAACAGTAGGAAGACCAGCTCTAATGGCTTTCCCAGGGTCTCTCTTTGCTGAAAATCTTTCATACCTTTGTCCGGCCTGGGATTGTCACTATATGGCACAGCTAGGACATGAATTTGACGGATCGCAGCTCCAACTGGTCTTGCTAAAGTGCACTTTACATTTGTAATAGGCTTACTTCTTTCTAAGAATGGGATACATCAATAATTCCGTGAGGGGCAAGAGAATTAGTACATGGATAAGTGCAGGAGGCATCTCAATAGATAATCTATAGCACTATTCGATACATGTTTAGCTTCCTTGGGATCCCCCTTCCCATTGAAATGGCCGTGTGCTGTGTGGTGTGCATAGCTAACTTATTGGAAGAACCAATTTGCAGTCAGTTTGTCCGGTCATATTACGAAGATTTAGCATGTCCACGGGCCTCAGGCACCATCAAAAACAAGAAGACTCTGGACACGAATTCCGCCGTATCCGCGTTGCCGTAAAAGCTCGCGCCCGCGGTGGATTGGAAACTCGGCGACAACCATCACACTTATATCATGGACCATAACACGAGCTTTCCTGAGCAAATCTATCGTGGCACACAGTGTCCTGCCTGTAGCCAAAACGTCATCCACTATCACAATCGATGTGTTGCTAGGGATCAGGCTCGGGTCCATTTCGATCCGACCATCACTTGAATGGCAAGACGCGATATGAGATTTGGGCTTGTGCACAGAAACGATTGGCGGTGGAAGCTTGCCTGCTTCGCGGATAAGGACTAAGGGTATGTCGACAGTCGTCCCCAAAGCCGACGCAAAAGGAAAGCTGCCAACCTCGCAACATACGATCCTATGGACTTGAGTCCAGTCACCGACAAAATGTGTCTTCATGAGATGTGCACACAAAGGCAGTCCACTTTGAACTTGCACTATGTTCAGCACATGCTGGAATGTGACCCCAGAGCGTGGAAATCCGGATACTGAACGGACCATGTCAGCCAAGCGCTGCAGGTCTTTGCTCAGGAAAGGTAGGATGTATTTTCGCGCGAATTCACTTGCTTGGACCGGGCCGCTTTCGTCGTTATAAAACTCGAGGCTCGGAATCGCAAGTGCTGTTCCCGACGTATTGTCGCTGCTTTCTCCATGTGCCTGGCCCCTGGCGCTGATATTGCAATGGCCTTGGCGAGAAGTTCGCTCCTCTTCCCGGCCAGATACATGTATCTCAAGCAGCCTGCTCCGTGGTACAAGGGGCGAATAGGTCGAGACTGGAGCTTCATCTCTCATTCCACTGATGAGCAGTACATCTATATCTGCTGCAGTTGCGACTAGCTGCAAGAAGTGCTCTTCGAGGAGCTGAGGATGTCTCTTGAGCTGAGCCCGGAAGAATGCTGTCAATGAGGCCCGGTGGTGTTCCTTGTATTCGCGATCGCACAGAAGACGATCCCGATCGGCACCGGCAGCTACCGCATAATCGCATTTGGTCTTGTCACTGATACTCATTTTCCGCACCGTGATCTTACGGTCGGGTATGCTGCTAATACAGACCTCCACACATCAGCGCAATAGTCCTTTCCGGCACCACTGCTGCCTGAAACCATAATAATGAGCTTCGGTCCGACCAGTGGCTCTCGGAGCGGACAAGCATGCACTAACACGCCGTGCGGATCTAACCGGCGTTTTAAACAAGCTAGAGCCGGCAAATTGGCTCCAAAAGCCCGGCATGCTAACATCTTATCCCGTGGATCCGGCCCAAGGTCGGCGCCATAGACGCCATCACTAAAGGGGAGAAGCGCTGCAGTGACTTGATACACCCAGTCCACAACCGAGTGCCGGAGTGCCGTGTGATCGTCCTCGCGTGGCCAGATGCCGGTAACGACGCACGCATAATCCCAGTTCCTACAACTGAATGCGCTGGGGGTGGCTACTCTCTGGGCCGCCTCGCCTCCTTGTAGAAGATGTAAATAGCACATTGGGGTTGGGCGTGTCTCAATAGCCTTAACCAAAGTTGTGGCGGGGTTAGCCATGTTCCTCAAGAAAACGCACCGTTTGAATGAGCTTGTCTTGCCCTTTCCATGCCCACCATGCATTCCATGCATATACATGTCAACATCGAACAGTCCAAGACTGTCTACCGTACGATGCGTATTTGCTGCACCTAAAGTCGCCTCCATAGCCGCCGACACGGAATTATCTGGATCGGTCCTTTGCGTGGATAACTCAATCACAGTGACTCCAAGACACAGCTGATCAGCTTCCACGTAGAGATAGAAATCAGCTGAAGATTCTAGGGGAAGACTGTCGGTACACCAGATGGTGTAAGTGCCAAGCTTGAGGATTGCCTCTTCCTGATCTTTCATTCGGAGAACCCATTCGCGGATATGATATGTTGGTACCGGAAATGTTCTGAACACTACCTTGAGTACGATGCCAAAGTTGGTTCCTGCGCCTTTGATGGCGGGCAACAGATCGCTTTCGTACTCCGGGCGGATTGCGTCAGCCGGTTGGTGGCTGCTCGGTACATCGCCGATACAGAGCACCTGCCCAGATTCCACACCCACCATTACGACACCAACAATGGCATCACACGTGAGCCCAAATGTTCTCGTCAGATGCCCAATACCTCCTTGTAACCATAGTCCAGCCCCAACGCTTGGGCGTGCTCCTAGAGGGATCGTGAGGTGTGCATCGCTTGCCCGGCGGGTGATATCCCCAGTCTTGCAGCCAGCACCAGCGACTATCAAGGCTCTAGACCCTGTAAAGGGTCGAGATTCATTCTCTTCTGCCGGAACAATATGAAGCTGATCAAAGGCTTCCATGTCAATCGCAACCACATTGGGCCTCACGCAGTGGCCACTATGTCCTCCGCCAATAATACTCAGACTGAAGCCATGCTTGATGGCCCAAAGAATACATTGCTGTATTTGACGAATGGTGGTTGGCCTGAGGACCGCAGTGGGCTGATTGTCAGATGCTTCCCGGTTTTTCAATCGCCTTTTCTCACTTCGTAGAGGCACTTGCATGGCCAGTTCGGAAAAAGAGACAGAGCGCTTGGTGAAGGTGGCCAGCATGGTGGGGGAGCGGAAAAAAAGACGGTTCGAAAGAAAATCTCCATCACCGCACTCGCGACAAATATCTCGCCATCGTTCTTGGATGGAGCATTGAAGATCGTCGTCTTTTGCCGCAAAACCCGCGACCAAACAAGCAAAGTTGTTCAATTCCTCGTCACGATTGGTCACAGATGCCATCCCTTCGGGAAGGTCATTCTTTCTTCACAAACCAAACCATCAAAACGTAGCTTCCCATCCCGATGGAAAACAACCACCAGGCCATGCTCAGGCGCATCCACAAGCATGTTTATCGCCTCTTTGATAAAATCACCTTCCGGTCTCATGCCATACATACTGTGACAGAAGAGAATAATGTGGAACCGTCCTTGATAGCTGTCATTTACAGGACATCTTCTCTCGGGCCGTGGATGGAATGCCATCTCATGGACAATGGGCAGGCACCGCTGGTTTGGGAATGGGGTTGATCCTCCGATTTTAGAGCATAGCCAGTTCTTCAGCTTAGCGGCAAGGAGGCCAACAGGCTCGAATGCAACATAGCTGCCGACTTTCTCTCTTTGGTGTTTTGGCAGATGTCCCAACACGCTTTCAGCACCAGGGCCTATTTCCAAGACCGAGAGATGCTTATGCGTCTTGGTAAGGGCTTCTAGGAGCCTGGAGAGCTGTGGAATGATGAACTCACGGTACGTTATCAGCTCTGAACCTTTCATTAATTCATCAAAACCAGCTCTGTACTTCTCTTCGGAAATCGGCTTCTCCGGGAAAGTGCGAGGGCTCGCTTGTAGTAAAGCTTCCTTCAGGGAGTCAAGTGTAAACATTTCGTGCGTTTTGAAAGCAAGATATCCTTGAATATGCTGTTACTCAATGAGCTGAAATCTGTCGGTGGTAGGCATTATCAATAAAGCTCTAGGCCGGGAAAGATAAGGCTTTTTCGTTGGCTATGCATGACGCGCCAACACATCAAGCCCTCTAACCTATCATCCAGGGTATTAGATTTCTACCGGGCCTATTCTTTGTCTTTACCTCGGCTTCGTGTCTTCAGTTGATTGGTAGTAGCCCCTACAGTAGGGCCAGCTAGAGAGCCACGTATCTATCAACCGGACGCCTCGGGACGGATCGTCGGGCCAATAGTGGCGGAACGCTGCAGGAGGCAGCCTTTCGTGCGCTAGCCTAAACTCTCTGTCAATCACAAGAGCAGACCTAGTCTGAGGGGACTTTTCTGTATAAATTTGGCAGTTTGGATTCTGAGCCTATATCCAGTTCCCAGTAAACCCCAAGAACACAACTCTGGCTGATATTGCTTTTTGAAAGGGAAGAAAATTTCATTCCTTACCTTTCGTTCCACAAAGACATAGAACTTTATTTCTGAAATGGTTGCTCGTAGTGTCACTGGTCCTCTGGCTTGCGCCTCAGACAGGGGCTTGGAAGCACTGCAAAGTTCTAGCTCTACAGAGTAAGTCTGATATTGAGAAAGAACCCTATTTTTTTTATTTCAGTGACCAACCCGACTATCCTACAGACTTGAGACACCGGCCTCTCACTTGCAATACGAGCAAATGGTCAAATCAGTAACCCCGGTGACCTCCAATCACCTAAAAGGTAACAATTGACTTGCCCTGACGATTCCTCCACCCGTGGACCCGTGGACTCCACACTGAAGATTAGTCAGGATCTAGGAACCCCCGGATCTCAGAGTTGACAGAAGAATCGAAGACGATCCGTCTGGCGAAGCTGGCAGATGCCGTCAAGACGATAATCGAGTGTCTTGGTGAGGACACAACCAGAGAGGGTCTCCAAAGGACCCCTGAGCGATACGCCCAAGCCATGTTATACTTTACTAAAGGCTACGAGGAAAGTGTGGATGCACTGGTCAACGAAGCTATTTTTCATGAAGACCACCATGAACTGGTGATTGTGAAGGACATAAATGTCTCCTCGTTGTGTGAGCACCATTTGGTTCCTTTCACAGGAAAGGTCAGTCGCCATGAGAATAGTCCTCCTGATCGAGCTAATTCCTTTCTTCCCAGATACACATCGGCTACATTCCAAATCAATACGTCCTTGGGCTCTCTAAGCTCTCACGACTGGCTGAGATGTTTGCGCGTCGGCTGCAAGTACAGGAGCGAATAACGAAGCAGCTAGCTTCCGCCATCACTGAAGTCCTCAATCCACGTGGGGTTGGCGTCATCATGGAGGCCTCGCATCTATGCATGGTAATGCGCGGAGTAGAAAAGACTCAGAGCATGACCATCACTAGCTGCATGCTTGGCAGTATGCAATCAGATACCAAAATCAGGGACGAGTTTATCATGCTTCTACGTGGCACAAGATCTTGAGAAAAAAAACGCTTTATGTACTGATCCAAAAAACATCAAAGAAATGAAGACTTCGGTCCTTGCCATTTTTGCATGGCAGGATAATAACGGTGCTCACTAGATCACATATTTAGACGCATCATATATGTACAATTTCCTGCAAGTCTACTTGACCCCGCAGTTTGCCCAAATCTGGCTACCTGCAGCCGAAACAATCCACTAGATACGGCCATTATGGGAAAGATGCGTAATCTAACTTTACCAGAGAAGCCAGTGCCTACGGACACGAGGCGAAGGCCGGAATGGCGGGCCATCCAGGCCAATCGATGTATCCTTTGTATGATGAATTCTTTGTTCGAGTGTGTGTAGTAGGTTAAACCTAATGTCGCATTCATGCATTCCAGCATTAGAGAACGCAGTATGCTAAATGTTGCGAGTGGCGATTCTTTTCCTCGCCTGTCAACCCTGCCAATTCGTTTTGCAGTACCTTGGAGATAGAATCCTGCCCCTACTTGCCGCAGACTCAAACAACCTCATATAACCAGGCATCTTCAACTTCTATACTTATGAGAATTTCGGCTGCTTTGCGCCTATTGCCAATCTATGGCTCAGCAGCCCTTACAGGTCCGACCGCTTATGGATTGCGCCAAGCACCATCTGTCTTAGTTGTCACAGCCTGTTACTCCCCGGCAGACTTCAGCTGGGGGGCTACAGCGCGTTCAAGTGCCCCGGCCTCTATCTAGCTTCTAATGTAGATTTGGAAGCTGCTAAGTTGCCTGTGCCGCTATTTGCCTGAGCCAACTCGTGGGTGTCATTGGCATCGAGGCACCCTGTATAGCGATTTGGAGATATTTTATATCAAGGCTTGCGCCCCTTTCATAATGCAGGGAAACACGATGGAGGGTTGGAAATCCACGCGATGCTATCGGAGAGCTTCTATATTGACGCAGGGTTATACCCTTGCTTCTTGACTTAGCGATGGATCTCTGAAAGCCATTGGATATGGGAGTAACCAGGTGAAATTCCCAGGATTTGAACAGATGTGATAGATATGGTGGACTATGGAATCGAGATATAGATAGAATGAAATCTTGAAGTATTGGAATTCAGCTATAGTATGATACTTCTGGGAATTGGAATCGGGTCTAGATTTAGTTATATTCTCCCCGCTATGTGTTAATGTGATACATTCCTGTGCCTAGTCCCTGTGCTTGCCAATCCATTTGACACCTTGGGTTCGGAACAACGCCGACCTTCGTCTTCAATTCATCATTTTTTCTTCGGTATCACCCACATCATCATGGTTCATAGGATCAGGCATTAAGCTTGATCTGCTCTTCTTGTTTTTTTTCTTAGAAAATTTTTCCCGACTTGGAAGAGCGCGTGTCAATGATGAACCAGATTCTAGTATACTCTGTTCCTCGGGAAAGCCATCGGTGGCAATATCACTGACTTTAACTGGTGACCCAGCTTGTGTATTTTCCGAATCAGAATCAATGGGAGTCATCTCTGTGGGTGGATTGACCGAGATATATGAGTTCTCCGAGACTTCTTGGTTGCTCCGCCCCGAGGCTATCGTATCAAAATTTGGATCTTGCAATCAGTCAGTATGAAGCTAAAGATAGGATTTATTGCCTTACCAATCCCTCTAGTACCGGCGAACCGCCTGCAGGTATTTGATCCCTGGTTTAGAATCCAAAGCTTTCTATTCAGCTGCTCTCGGAGGCCTTGGCTCTCCTTCGATTCACCAGCGATTTGATTCACTAGGTCTATAGGCATCTGAAATGCTGTCATTGGGTCAAATAGCCCAGTCAACGCACTCAAGAGTTTTACTTCCACCACTTCCGTAGCAATATCATCCACAAACCGTTTGAGTGCGACCTTTATCTGTTAGGTAATGAGCAATGCAGTGCGGCTATAAGACTTACTTGGTAGTACGCAAGCATGCAATCAAGCGCTTCTTCGGAGGCAAAGCATGTCATGCTAGGTATGGTCTTCAGAAGAGAGTTAAAAAGGCCCTGAAGATTGATCCCATAATCCACCGCATGGGAAGTGGTTAGAGTCTCAACTTTGAAGTGCGATTGAAGAGCTTTGCGGAGTGCCTCTTTTTGGAGATCAGCACGGGTCTTTTGCAGTGTCTCGGTGAAAGAGTGATTGTAGGTAATAGGATGGCCTTGCAAATGAGGCATTAGAAAATCGTTGCACGCCCTTTCCAAGTTCTGGCGTTGGGTCGTTAGAGCCGGTAAGATGACTTTCTGGAAGAGGGATTTTGACGTCGCGCTATCGGCCACATGGTCGACGGCAAGTTGAAGGAAACTCTGTGCAGCTGCCCAGGCCGCAGCGACATGATTTTGGGCAATGTTTTTCCACGGAGTACACTGCTCCTGGAATAAGTCTTTCACGATCATAGGATTGAAAGTCCCAGGCAATTCTCGGCCCCGGGTCTTCTTGAGAAGTGTTTCTATGTTCTGCACATAGTTGCTCCGAGATATTGAGATCTGGTGGCTTGATAGAGGTTCTTGACTTTGATCCACCAAATGGTATAAGTGGCCGGACTTGAAAATGTCTTTCGTGAAGTCCTCATTCAAGTTTTGAATCACCGCACGAATACGTTTCTGGCAGCCAGCGTCCGTCGTCGCATCTCCAAAGAATGGCTCATTGTAAGTACCATCCACTGCTGCTTTGACAATGGATTGAAACCCTTGACTGATCTGCAAGAGATACGACCGTTGCTCATCGATTGTCGAGCGTGGATTGCCAAGCTTGGTCAGCTCCTGCTGACAGACCGTAATTTTAGAATTAATCTCCTCAATCAGACTAGGCAACTCATTCGAAATCTGGCCAAGAAGAAGACTGCTTAGACGATTCCTCAAGGTTTCCACGCCGACAAGGGACCGGGATAGCTCTTCCCAAATTCCCTGCGCAAAAAAGTCACGCTCTTGAGCATTTCGGTCTGCCAAGCTCCACTGGCCTTTGTCTGAGTCCGTGTTTCGTAAGACGTGCCATCCCAAGCGGAACTCTACCTCCTGGTTCTTGGCAAGCGATACAAATGACGCTTCACTCTCAGATCCTGGTACCAGCATATCCGGCTTGGAAATCACTCCGAGCGTTCGAGTCCCTGTTGAGTCGGCGTCGCGTGCAAGACGGAGGACGATTTGGTTCGCAAAGTCGTTCTTGGCGGAGACAACGGCAAGGATAATACTCCGTGGCTCTCTCATGTATGACTGCACCACCTCCTGGACCAACTGCACATCCGCTGCCGACTGCTGTCGTGTTTCTGAGTGTATCAACCCCGGAAGATCGACGATTGTAAGATGTGGCCGATCGGGTCCTGAAACTTCCACCCGTAGTAGATCATTAGAAAACGCTTTCCCGTGGGTCGAGATCCCCATTGCAGCCTTTGCATTCTCTATAAGTGCGGGGAGGCCGTCAAAGCCATCCAGCTGTTCAGAGAAGCGACCAAGAGAGCTCTGCTCCACTTCGCTGCGCGATTGATAGGGTACAATGGAGACCCGAACTCCCACCTGCGAGTTCTTTCTAAGAACCAATTCAGTTGGAAACCTGGTGCATAGACTGCTTTTGACTGGGAACGAGACTCCAGAGATTGCTTCGAGAACGGAGCTTTTCCCGGAGGATTGATCTCCACAGACAATGATCTGCGGTAGAGAGACATAATGGCTGATTCCTTGAGATCGGAGAGTGTCAATGGAATCTAGGAGCTCGAGCTGTTCCTGCGTGCAAAGGCCCGCGAGGGCATCGGTTTCGAACTGAGTGAGAGTCATGATGATGAGTTCAATTTATTGTATTGATATCTAGTGGTAGGAGGCAGAGGTGACGGCAGCAACTACTTTATATATGTAAAAGTAAAATGAGATTCTCTTATCTTTACAACGAGAATACTTGGAACGGACGCCTTGCTGCTTTCTGCATTCCCGACATTTTTGACCTTGCATCCGACTGCTTACTTGAGGTCAAGTATGCGGGAGAGGATTGGACGAAGAAGCTTATCTTTTGAGCGGCGTTGGGCCTTCAGGAATTATGCGACAAGAATTGATGGACAGACAAGGCATGCTGCCATTGCTCCTTTACTGTATCAAGGACTCTTCACCGCTGGTACAAATATATCACCAAACATTTGCCCTGTATAGTACAAACTGCTAAGGCATGTCGCAGAGAAGCTGATCTTTCTTAAGTTCGAGACAAAGTTGAACATTTCTTAATTTCAACAAAGCCATCCTCGGAGTTTTTACCTACTGGTACGTAGGCTTTCATTACGCTGTACGACGAAAAGAAATCGCTCCTTGGCGGTCGGCATCATTTATCATTGACATGAAGGACTGTCGAGGTATATGTTGACCAGTATTAAATAAATCTACTTTTACATCAAAGATTAAGACTATTATATCATACAGCCTGTAATCGCCGTCACTAAATGCGTATATAACGCAAACAAAGGCCACAGAGATACAGTTAAGGTCGCTATTCACAAGCGATCTATTTGCATAAAGCGACACAGCTGTGGAATATTCACAGGATATGACTTGGCCCACTTAGTTCTAATATTGTGACTCATTCTTCTCTAACCAGGTTAGCGAAAAATGTGCGGCCATCCGGCATGCACCAGAAGCTTGGCAGAGTAGCCTTTTTGGCTAGACACTAGTGTTTGGTATTCGAGAAGATGCGGTGAATTTTAATTGCCATATACAGTAATTACAGGTCTCTGGGTGAGTAATTACCTAACTAGGAATATGGACACCTTGGAACCTTGAGAAAACCGCACATTCCTCCGGGTCAATGCAAGTTTCAAGGGGTATTGTATAAAGGGGAAATTAGTTACCCGCAGCCCTACGTCACGTAAAGCAACTTTCATCCACCCAACATCTTTCAAAGCGCTTTGGAAATAGCGCCCTACACACCGCCAGCACATCTGGCGGTCCAAAGGCTGGCAGATATGGCTTGTGCCCGACTGCATACATCCCCGTTAAGGACGCGCCCGACAGCCCGAAGCGAAGTCTCCGGAACAAACGCCAAAGACAGACGACAGGCCATGAAAATCCGCTCCCTCTAGAACTCCTAGAAGAACGCCTCCAGACTATCGGGATAGGGACGTCGAAACTTGAGTTTATCTATCTATACATCGTACCACCATGGTGGAAACCTCCAGAAGTGTGTATCTTTAACTCCAAAGAGGAAGCGGTAAAGGCCTACAGGAACCTCCTACCCTCCTCTGAAGACTAGGTGATAGCATATACAGACAGTAGTGGCTCTACCGGTGGTATAGGAGCGGCAGCTACAACCTCCCTTAGAGGAATAAAGATAAGAAGAAAAGAAAGTAAGACTAGTTATACTGTATACTTGGCAGAACTCCAGGGATTACCAATAGTAGATATTTCTCTCAATAACAACTATAATTGTTGTGTAGACAAATTTACAACTTTGATTCCACTTTCGATGGATGCTCTTCCCATCTACCATTTCCCATCCCAGAATCTCCTCCTCTTCCTCCTCCCTCCTCCTGTTCTTCTTCATCATTGTCTTGTCTAGTTCTTATAGTTCGTCTCTTCATAAAAGTCTTTTTCCTTATTCGTCTACCCTTGCCCCCTCCATTTTCTTGTTCTTTTCCTCCCATACCCCCCTCTATCTCGAGGTCTTCATCTATTTCCTCATATATTTCCTCGTCCTGTCTCCCTACTTTCTTCTTGCGGTCCCTTCTTCCTTCACCACTCCCCTCTCCTCCCCCCTCCACCTCCTCCTTCCCCGACCCTTCCACTTTTTTCTACTAGGGCTGGCGTAAGGGGATCGCCTTCATTCATAGTATCTTTTTCGACCGAGTTGCATGATAAACCCCCAATTAGATCTGCCTCCATATCTGAAACCATGATACTGACGTTTTGCTTGACGTGATGGTTGCCCAATATTCTGTCGGGCCTGGTTAGTCTGGAACAGGTCTCAGTGGTACAACCTGTGGATATATATATATATGCGGCAAACAGATCAAGAATTCGCACGGAGATCGAGGACCTTGGGAGACTTTTGACCAGGGAAAGTAGTCATACAACCAATAAAAGTCAATAAAGTAGCCAAGCGGAAATGGCCAATCTAGATCAGGAGTATATATCGTCTGTGAAGAAGTGTCGCAGGGAAGAGATGGAGTTAAAATATTTCCTGGCAGGACAAAATTTCATTTATACTAACCTAGAAAGGACAGCTGTGGCTCACATTTACCGCTGGTATATAGAAATCCTAGTTTTGGATCTCAAGCCAAAGTGTGAAGTTAACTAAAGAGATAACTCTAGCGATCATATGAATCGGACTTAAAAGTAGGCCATTGCCGATCGGATGGGGTGATAACATATCGAGACCCCGCATTCTGGACCAATAAACCGCACATTCACGAGGTGGTCTGTGCGCTATGTCCCTTTCGGGTTAACACAGACGGAGTTTCGATTTTTAGGAAATGTGCCTTATAGTCCGGCAGACCGGGAATATGCACGATGCTTTGATAGGGGCCATAGCAACGATGGTATACTTTAAGGGTCATGTTATCTAACCTCCAGTAGAAGGCATCAATAGGCAGGGCCTCACATCGCCAAAACTGACTGGCTTTGCTCTATTAGCTCGCGCTCGAGATTGACCGTAACGCCGCTTCTTGCATGCTTTAACGACACTACCCAATAGACACCTCCGTTATAGACACCTTTGCATAGGTCCCAAGTCGGCCGATTCCTCGAAGGCTTATAATTGATGGCTCAAATTTATGACGTTATAACAAACCCTCTTCCCACAGTCTTCCCGAAGGGGATATCATAATCTTAGATCACGACCCACATCTCGAACCTAATAAAATATCATCTTATACATAACCGCCCCACATATAACCGATCTTCATGCGTTCAGTTAGTTACCTATACAGTAGTAACTAACTACTCCATAGCCAAATAATAAGAGCAGATTAATTTATTCGCACGAAGTCATCGCTCATGGCGTAGGATAGCACAGCATGCATTCATATGACTAACCGCAGGTCTTTTGACGCAGAGTCTGAAAGACATTAAGAGCCAGGAACAACATGATCTATAGGATCTTCTAGTAGCACATATATTACAGTTAAAACCGGTTCCGTACTGATTCGTTGGGCATCTCTCTCATTCGACCACTATTCGAAGAAATGTCCTGGCTTCTTAGCGGTTGTGAACTACGAAGATCCAGTAGATGGTTGACAAACACTTGACTTTTATCACGCTGCTAGTACGAGTCTGGTAGACTCAGGGCTTAGATTTTCTGTCAAAAGAATTGCCCTACAGCCACTCTAATATTATCTTTACAGCTAATGTTTAATATTTGTAACTGATAAGCTTGGAGCCTGATGAGTTTCATGGCAGATTTTGCTAAAAGCTTTGGGCGGCGGGCCTTGGTTTGTGGTTCAAAGCCAAAGTAAGCCAGTGCTCCTCTGTTTGCAAGAGGTTTAGTTAGGCGTTTTTATGGTAAAAGCGTTCTCTCCTAAAGCTCTAAAGACTATGGTCTCTCTCTAGGGTGGCTTATGTCCTACAGGAAGCTGCGGTTCAACACTCACCGTGAGTAATGGGTCTTCAAGAAGATCAATACATATGAAGAGGCCATTTGCACAGCCACCAAAGTACAATATGACCGGCAAGTTACAGAAGTCCAGGGCTTCCCGATGAGTGCAAAGTTGTTCGATTTGGTCTCCACTGTCGGCCTCGTACAGTCAAAAATTGCCATCCTATATCAATATTATCATCGGAGATATCGCGACGAATAGTATGGCAGTGGCCAAGAATAAGGATAACATTTCAAAAGAAAGGAAAGTAGCTCCTATACCTTCTTTGGCATGACTAGCCAGTGAAGAAAATATTATATAGAGGACTGAACTATACAATACTAGAATACCAGTTTCGGGAGGAATTGTTCATAAATTCATTGGCATGTGTAATGTATACATATATGATATAGCTGATTTGAGGGCTCAGATGTTACACCTAATGCAAGTTGCCCAGTTCTCGCGCAATATATATTTAAATAGTTTGAATCTATATTCAACCGAACAAGACTAGGATTTCATAGCATAGAGATATAACTAAGCAGCTCATTAGATCCTTTCAGGCATTAAAAGATTATTTCTAGCTCAGCTCTCTCTAGGAGAGATTGATATTCTAGAAAGGTAGAGCCGATTAGAATATCTATAATACTTTAAGCTGCTGCCACGAAAGTTCTTAATAAATCGCCTTGCGAGCTTTCTAAAATAAGAATGAGTTTTTTTGAATTTATTGTCCAGAATTTTTTGGAACCTTTTGTGATAGTCAACGCTACCTAGTTTCGGATTCAGATACTTACATTGCTTCTAAGATTGCTAACTCGGACCTTTCTTTGCTTATTATCAGGCCTAGTACTTCCGGGCTAAAGGCTGATATTATAATTAACAATACTCGCCCGAAAAATATATAATTTTCTTAAGTCGCTCTTCCTTCTATCATATCCAGGAGTATCTAATATTATATCAAATAATAGCTTATCTATTATTTGTTGCACAATTTATAATTTGGCTGTATATAGAGGATTTTTGTATTAGCCCAGCTAGCTTCTTATCGAAGATACTATAAAATTAACAAATCTACTCGATATACCAGTCTTTATATCTTTATAAACTTATAAAGCTCTAATATATAGACTAGTCGAAGTAGATAGTATTAGACTAATTCTTCCCCCAGTATTTTTATCAAGTAGAAGCGACTTTTGTTTATATCTACTTTAGAGAGTGTTAAAG